AAATTCATCTGCAGAGAAAAGGAAGGAAGACGCCTCCATAGGCTTTGGGGAGGGAAGTGTGGATACACTTGACATCCCAGAACCACAACCCCTCGGCCTTCCCTTCCCCGGTGCAGGGACCCAGGTCCCTCCTGAGTCTGGGGATTTCCCGGCTCCTCCTGCTCTCCCCATGGCTTCCTCCAGGGCCCAGCTCTGGGCTTCGCAGCCCAGGTGAGCTCCCTGCCAACCTGGGCCATGTCCCTCCCTCCTCAGGAGTGCCCGGACCTACACCTACCTGTTCTCCGAGCCCTCTCGCATTCCGTTGTACCCCAGCTGGGTGGGCGCCGACCACACCGATGACCTCCAGTACGTGTTTGGGAAGCCCTTCGACAACCCCCTGATCTACCGGGCCCAAGACAGGACTGTCTCCCGGACCATGATCGCCTACTGGACCAACTTTGCCAGAACTGGGTAAGGCGGGTGAGGCTGGGTCAGGCCTCCTGCCACCTGGACCCACATGCCTGTCCCCTCACGTACACTTAACCTCCCTGAGCCTCAGTACCCCGTGTAAGTGAGGATAGAGCTCCTGGTTGGGCGCAGAACATGTACATGCCCAGCCCGTGCCCAGGAGACAGTGAGGTGCCCTGGTGGTTCAGGTCAGCATGGAGATCTCCTGTGAGCGCTCAGACCCCACACGGCCTTTTCTCTCATCTGCAGGGACCCCAACCAGGGCCACTCCGCTGTGCCCACCCAATGGGAGCCCTACACCCAGGAAAACGGCAACTACCTGGAGATTAACAAGAAGATAAATGGCCAGTCCATGAAGCAGCACCTGAGGAGCAGCTACCTGCAGTACTGGACCCAGACCTACCAGGCACTGCCCACCGTGAACGAAGATGGGGATGCCCTGGTGCCCCCCTCGGACGACTCTTTGGCCATCCCCGTGCCTCCCTCGGACGACTCTGCGACCGCCCCCTGAACTCCCACTGGTGACTCTGAGGGGGCTCAGATGCCCACAACCATTGGCTTCTAATGTCCCTGCCCCAGAGGCCACAGGTGGGACCCAGGGAGCCCACCTCCCTCCCCAGCGCTTCCTGAATAAAGCCGCTTCTCCCTCTGGCAACCTTCTTTGCCCTCATGACCTCAGCTGCCCGCCCGTCTCTGCCTGTGTCCAGCTCAGGAAGTGGGGTGCCCCCCTCATTTCAGAGGAGAAAAGAGGGTCAGAGAGGCGTCAGCGCCAGGGCTGAGCTCAGGTTGCGGGCCCTGATAGGGGAGTGAGTGGGACATGTGGACAGTTGTCTCTGGAACACTGGGCCCAGCCTTGGCCACCACCTCAGGGTGAGGGAGCGGGCTCTATCTAACAGGGAAGGCCTGGTAGAGAAACTGATTTGCCTCCAGCTGGATCCCAGGCAGAGACAGTAATGCGTCCTGCTGGGCTCAGAGCAGAGGGTACAGGGCTGGGCCTTGGGTGCCCACTGGAAGGGGCCTGTGCCGTTGCCCGCTGGCTCTGGCAGAGTCTGGAGGGGAGCAGGAGGCAGAGGTCAGATGCAGGGCCATGGCCACCTCAGCAAGGTCTGGGGCGGGGCACTGCCTGCACCGAGGGCTCCCCCATCCTGACCTCACATGGCCCGGGCGGTGGGCACTGTGGACACCCCGTTGTAGACAGTTACTGTGAGACATGCTCACCTGTCCGAACTCAAATGACAGACTCGGAGACAGAAGTGCGGTAAAAGCAAGACCTTGAATGCGCTCTGGAGAGCGGGTGTCTGCCCATTGCACAGCCTCACCTGGGGCGGGAACACAGTCCATTTAATCGTCCCTCCTCCGATTTCTCATTGGGTGCGTGCTATCGGCTCAGCTGTTTCCTGACACGTCCACTAGGTCCTCCCATTGGGCCATTTAATAAAATTGGGCTGAGGCCTTTTCTAGTTTCCTCCCCTCCCCCTGTCTAGCTGAGGCCGGTGCCTCCTGGGTCTCTGACATGATGCTGGCCCACACCCAGGGGCCTTGGTCTCACATCCTCGTCCCTCCCGCTCCCTTCTCTGTGCCTGGGGAGGTTCAGCCACCGCTTCCATCAGAGGCTGGCCATGCTGGCCCATGTCCTACAGCACCAGGGCTCCAAGAGGCTCACGTGCCCCAGGCCCTCACAGCGAGGACTCAAGCCCAGGTCTGAGACCCAAAGCTACCAGGTCAGCTCAGAGCAGGCGTGAGGGCTCAGAGGAGAGAAGGTTTCTGCTGGGGGTGTGTATGGCAGGGGCAGCTCCAGGGGACCAGCCAGCCACCCTGATGCACACGGTCCAGTGTTTCCCTGGCCAGGCTGGGCGGGAGCCCCCTTCCCTCCACATCTGTGCCCACCTGAGCCTCCAGTCCTCCCTCCAGGGCTGCTGGTGCTGAGTGTGAGGGGTGCCCTCCCTGAGGGCAGGACCGCCCTGTGCTGCTCTGGGTCCCCACACCCAGCTCGGACTGCACACCCGTGGGCCCTCGGACCCAGGCTCAGCCACGTGGCTGCCCAGGAGCACACAGCCCTCTCTGTCCGGAGGCGACATGCCCAGTCCCCTGTGAACTCCCTTTACTAGGCTCCGGAGCTCGAGGCGGGGGCCAGGCAAGGCCTGGAGGGAAGCAGGCCCCCTTCTCTGAGGGTGAGCCCAGGCCCTTGTCAATGAGCCACAATGACAGGGACCCAGGGACACCAGGGAGCGGGGACAGGGACCCAGGGACACCAGGGAGCGGGGACAGGGACCCAGGGACACCAGGGAGCGGGGACAGGGACCCAGGGACACCAGGGAGCGGGGACAGGGACCCAGGGACACCAGGGAGCGGGGACAGGGACCCAGGGACACCAGGGAGCGGGGACAGGGACCCAGGGACACCAGGGAGCGGGGACAGGGACCCAGGGACACCAGGGAGCGGGGACAGGGACCCAGGGACACCAGGGAGCGGGGACAGGGACCCAGGGACACCAGGGAGCGGGGACAGGGACCCAGGGACACCAGGGAGCGGGGACAGGGACCCAGGGACACCAGGGAGCGGGGACAGGGACCCAGGGACACCAGGGAGCGGGGACAGGGACCCAGGGACACCAGGGAGCGGGGACAGGGACCCAGGGACACCAGGGAGCGGGGACAGGGACCCAGGGACACCAGGGAGCGGGGACAGGGACCCAGGGACACCAGGGAGCGGGGACAGGGACCCAGGGACACCAGGGAGCGGGGACAGGGACCCAGGGACACCAGGGAGCGGGGACAGGGACCCAGGGACACCAGGGAGCGGGGACAGGGACCCAGGGACACCAGGGAGCGGGGACAGGGACCCAGGGACACCAGGGAGCGGGGACAGGGACCCAGGGACACCAGGGAGCGGGGACAGGGACCCAGGGACACCAGGGAGCGGGGACAGGGACCCAGGGACACCAGGGAGCGGGGACAGGGACCCAGGGACACCAGGGAGCGGGGACAGGGACCCAGGGACACCAGGGAGCGGGGACAGGGACCCAGGGACACCAGGGAGCGGGGACAGGGACCCAGGGACACCAGGGAGCGGGGACAGGGACCCAGGGACACCAGGGAGCGGGGACAGGGACCCAGGGACACCAGGGAGCGGGGACAGGGACCCAGGGACACCAGGGAGCGGGGACAGGGACCCAGGGACACCAGGGAGCGGGGACAGGGACCCAGGGACACCAGGGAGCGGGGACAGGGACCCAGGGACACCAGGGAGCGGGGACAGGGACCCAGGGACACCAGGGAGCGGGGACAGGGACCCAGGGACACCAGGGAGCGGGGACAGGGACCCAGGGACACCAGGGAGCGGGGACAGGGACCCAGGGACACCAGGGAGCGGGGACAGGGACCCAGGGACACCAGGGAGCGGGGACAGGGACCCAGGGACACCAGGGAGCGGGGACAGGGACCCAGGGACACCAGGGAGCGGGGACAGGGACCCAGGGACACCAGGGAGCGGGGACAGGGACCCAGGGACACCAGGGAGCGGGGACAGGGACCCAGGGACACCAGGGAGCGGGGACAGGGACCCAGGGACACCAGGGAGCGGGGACAGGGACCCAGGGACACCAGGGAGCGGGGACAGGGACCCAGGGACACCAGGGAGCGGGGACAGGGACCCAGGGACACCAGGGAGCGGGGACAGGGACCCAGGGACACCAGGGAGCGGGGACAGGGACCCAGGGACACCAGGGAGCGGGGACAGGGACCCAGGGACACCAGGGAGCGGGGACAGGGACCCAGGGACACCAGGGAGCGGGGACAGGGACCCAGGGACACCAGGGAGCGGGGACAGGGACCCAGGGACACCAGGGAGCGGGGACAGGGACCCAGGGACACCAGGGAGCGGGGACAGGGACCCAGGGACACCAGGGAGCGGGGACAGGGACCCAGGGACACCAGGGAGCGGGGACAGGGACCCAGGGACACCAGGGAGCGGGGACAGGGACCCAGGGACACCAGGGAGCGGGGACAGGGACCCAGGGACACCAGGGAGCGGGGACAGGGACCCAGGGACACCAGGGAGCGGGGACAGGGACCCAGGGACACCAGGGAGCGGGGACAGGGACCCAGGGACACCAGGGAGCGGGGACAGGGACCCAGGGACACCAGGGAGCGGGGACAGGGACCCAGGGACACCAGGGAGCGGGGACAGGGACCCAGGGACACCAGGGAGCGGGGACAGGGACCCAGGGACACCAGGGAGCGGGGACAGGGACCCAGGGACACCAGGGAGCGGGGACAGGGACCCAGGGACACCAGGGAGCGGGGACAGGGACCCAGGGACACCAGGGAGCGGGGACAGGGACCCAGGGACACCAGGGAGCGGGGACAGGGACCCAGGGACACCAGGGAGCGGGGACAGGGACCCAGGGACACCAGGGAGCGGGGACAGGGACCCAGGGACACCAGGGAGCGGGGACAGGGACCCAGGGACACCAGGGAGCGGGGACAGGGACCCAGGGACACCAGGGAGCGGGGACAGGGACCCAGGGACACCAGGGAGCGGGGACAGGGACCCAGGGACACCAGGGAGCGGGGACAGGGACCCAGGGACACCAGGGAGCGGGGACAGGGACCCAGGGACACCAGGGAGCGGGGACAGGGACCCAGGGACACCAGGGAGCGGGGACAGGGACCCAGGGACACCAGGGAGCGGGGACAGGGACCCAGGGAGAGACAGAAGATGAGACACTGAGGTGGTGACTAGGGGGACACAGAGCCATGGGACAGACAAGAGGGACGGTGTCAGGGAGAGAGATGAGCAGCCTGGCCCTCCTGCTCCTGGTCCCCTACCTGAGCCCCACACCCCCTCCAGCACCTCATTCAACCAGGTTCCTGGGGACCCGCCCTGCGCCATCCTGGGGCTTGACAGGGGCCTCCACATGGAGGACGCTCTCCCCCCACCCCAGTCCCTGATGGGCTTCCCCACCCGCCCCAGGTAACTACGGCCTTCGGGACCAGCACATGGCCATCGTGTGGGTGAAGAGGAACATTGCAGCCTTCGGGGGGGACCCCGACAACATCACCATCTTTGGGGAATCAGCCGGAGGTGCCAGCGTCTCTCTGCAGGTCTGGGGACCCTGGGAGGGCAGGTCCTCCTCCCAGGATGTTGGGGGGGGGGACTTGGAGGGTAGGTTATTGGAGCTGGGGGAGCTGACGGGGCCTCGGGGAGCAGATGGGAACTGGGGAAGCTGATGGAGACTGGGGGAGCTGATTGGGGCTGGGGGGGTGATGCGGGCTGGGGAAGCTAATGGTGGCTAGGGGAGCGGATGGAAACTGGGGGAGCGGATGGGAACTGTGGGAGCTGATGGAAACTGGGGGAGCTGATGGGGGTTGGGGGGTGATGCGGGCTGGAGGAGCTGATGGGGACTGTGGGGAACAGCATGAAGCTGACTATCTGGCTATCTATGGTGGATCCGTGATGGGCAGGAGAGGCGAGGCCATGGTGACAGGACCTCT